TCATACAATATTTGTCTTACTCTGTATGACTTATCTCATTCTGCACAATACCCTCAAGGTCTATTCATGCTGTCACAAAAAGCAGGATTTTCATCATTTTTTTGGCTGAATAATAAATATTCTGTTGTATACATGTGCCTCATTTTCTTTTTTTGGTGAAATTTTATCATGTAACTATAAATTATAATTAATTTTACCTTCATGTTTTTAATTGCTATAGATTTCCTTTTTTAAAATTGAATTATAGTTGATGTACAATATTATATGTTACAGGTATACAATATAGTGATTCACATTTTTTAAAGGTTATAGACTCCATTTATAGTTATTATAGACTATTGGCTATATTCCCTGTGTTGTACAATATATCCTAGTAGCTTATTCTATACATAGTGGTTTGTGCTTCTTAATCCCCCTACCCTTATACTGCCCCTCCGCCTTCTCTCTCCCCACTGGCAACCACTTGTTTGTTCTCTATATCTGTGAGTCTGTTTCTTTTTGTTACATTCACTAGTATGTTGTGTTTTTTAGAGTCCACATACAAGTAATATAATACTTTGTCTGAGTTATTTCATTTAGCATAATACCCTCCAAGTCCATCTATGTTGCTGCAAATGGTAAAATTTCATTGTTTTTTATGACTGAATAGTATTCTACTGTGTATATACACTACATCTTCTTTACCCATTTATCTGTTGAGGGACACTTAGGGTGCTTCCATATCTTGGCAATTGTAAATAACACTGCTATGAACATTGGGCACATGGATCTTTCTGAGTTAGTATTTTTGGTTTTTTTCAGATATATACTCAGGGTGGAATTGATGGATCATATGGTAGTTCTACTTTTAGTCTTTTGAGAATCCTCCATGCTGTTTTCCATAGTGGCTGCACCAATTTACATCCTCACCAACAGTATATGAGAGTTCCCTTTCCTCCACATCCTCACCAACAGTTGTTATTTGTGGTCCTTTTGATGATAGTCATTCTGACATGTGTGAGATGATACCTCATTGTGGTCTTAATTTCTATTTCTCTGATGAGTAGTGATGTTGAACATCTTTTAATGTGCCTCCTGTATGCCACATTTTCTTTATCCGTACACCCACTGAAGAGCACTTAGGTTGTTTACATGGTTTGGCTATTATAAATAACGCCACAGTGAACATGGGAGTGAAGATACCACTTCAAGATAGTGATTTTGTTTCCTTTGTATGTATACCTAAAAATGGAATTGCTGGGTCATATTGTAGTTCTACTTTTAATTTTTGAAGAGTCTTCATACTGTTCTCCATAGTGGCTATACCAATTTACATTCCCAACAATAGTACACAGCAGTTCCCTTTTTTCAGTTTTGCTCTTTGTAAACCGATATCCAGTTTTCCCAAAACCATCTATAGAAGAAACTATTCTTTCCCCACAGATTATTCTTGAATCCTTTGTCAAATATTAGTTGACTGTAATACGTAGGGTTATTTCTGGGCTTTTGAGTGTGTTCCCTAGGTCTATATGTTTATTTTTATGCCAGTACCATACTATTTTGATTACTATAATTTTGTAGTACAGTTTGAAATCAGGAGTATGATGCTTACTGCTTTGTTCTTTCTCAAGATTGTTTTGGCTATTTGGAGTCTTTCATGGCCCCATACAAATTTTAGGATTGTTTCCTTTATTTCTGTAAAAATTACCATTGGAATTTTGATAGGGATTGCAGTGAATCTGGAGATTGCTGGGGTAGCATGGATGTTTTTATAATATTAATTCCTCCAGTTCATGAGCATGGACCACCTTTCTACTTACTTGTGTCTTCTTCAACTTCTTTCTCAATGTCTTGTAGTATACAGTATATAGTTTACATATCTTTTACCACCTTGATTAAATTTACTTCTAGATATTTTATTCTTTTTGATGCTATTGTAAATGGGATTTTTTATTAATTTCTCTTTTTGATAGTAAGTGGTTAGCATATAGAAACACAACTGATTTTTGTATTTTTTTTATCCTGGAACTTTACTGAATTTGTTTGTTAGTTCTTACAGTTTTTTGGTGGAATCATTAGGATTTTCTTTGTAATTTAAGGATATCTGTAAATAGAGACAGTTGTACTTCTTTTCAATTTATATGTCTTTTATTTCTTTTACTTGACTAATTGCTGTGGCTAGGACTTCCAGTATTCTATTGAACAGAAGTGGCAAGAATGGGCATTCTTGTCTTTTCCCTAATCAAAAAGGAAAAGCTTTCAGCTTTTCACCATTGAGTATGATGGTAACTGTGAGCTTGTCATATATGGCCATTATTATGTTGAGATACATTTCCTCTATACCCATATTGATGAGAGTTTTTATCATGATGGATGCTGAATTCTGTCAAATGCTTTTTCTGCAACTGTTGAGATGATTATATGTTTTAATCATTTATTTTGTTGATGTGATAGGCATTTATCACTATAAACTTCTTCCTAGAACTGCTTCTGCTCCATCTCACAATTTTATATTGTATTTACAGTTTTCATTTGTCTGAAGATATTTTTTGATTTCTCATTTGACTTTTCTTAGACTCATTGTTTGTTCAGTAATATATCCTTTAGTCTCCGCATATTTGCGAATTTTCTGGTTTTCATTTTTCTTATAATTGATTTCTACTTTCATACCATTGTGGTCAGAAAAGATGCCTGATACAATTTCAGACTTTTTAAATTTATTAAGACTTGTTTTGTAGTGTTAATATATGATCTTTTCCTGGAGAACGTTTCATGTGCATTTAAAAGAAAATATGTTCTGCTGCTGTTGGATGAATGTCTCTCTTGCTTCTCCTTCTGGGATCTGTATTATGCAAATGTTTGTCCACTTCATATGATCCCATAACTCCCTTAAGCTAACTTCATTTTTTTTCCTCTCGTTTTTCATTTTCATTTTATTAATTTTGCTGCCTGGATGATTTCTACCTCTCTTACTTGGAATTTGCAGATTCTTTCTTCACTTTATCTGGTATGCTGTCAAACCCTTCTATTGAATTTACAATATAACAATTCTATTCAGCTCTATGATTTCTGTTTACTACTTTCTTATATTATCTGTCTCTTTGTTCAGATTCTCACTTTGTTCATGCATTGTTCTCCTGACCTTGGTAAGCATCTTAGTGACCATTAATTGAACTCTTTCTCAGCTAAATCACTTACCTCCATTTCATTAAGGTCTTTTTCTGAGGTTTATCTTTTATTTGGAACATATTCCTCTGTTTCTTCATTTACCTTGCCTCTCTGTGTTGATTTCAGTGCATTAGATAAAACAGCTACCTCTTCCAGCCTTGAAAGTGTGGCCTTTGATTGTACAAGCTTCCTTCTTTGTTCTTAGTGGCTCCTAGTATTTGGGTTGTGCCAACACCTGTTTGTGTCCCAAAAGGGAAGATCTCAGTCAGCACCTAGATGCAGGCTGTTTGGAAGCTGGACCCTCAGGCATCAGCTTTTAAAGTAAGCAAATAGATTTCTTTCAGGGAGAGATTGGAAGATGGGCATTTGTGTCTGTTGCCTTTACATTTAGTCCTGGGGAGAAAGCCAGTTAGGAACTGTTTGTTTGTTTGCTGCGGTACTCAAAACAGTACAGTACTGGCGTAAAGGTAGGCATACGCACCAATGAAACAGAATGAAGTCCAGAAATAAATCCACACATATATGGTTAACTAATCTGCAACGGAATTTCCAAGAAAACACAATGGGGAGAGAACAGTCTCTTCAACGAAGGGTGCTGGGAAAACTGAATGTTGACTTGCAAAAGAGTGAAATTGGATCCTTACCGTACATCATCACAAAAATAAACTCAAAATGGATTAAAGAGAAATATGAGAACTGAATCTATAAAACTCCTACAAGAAAATAGAAATTCTTTATGACATTGGCCTTGGCAATGATTTCATGCATATGACACCAAAGCTGAGGCAACAACAGCAACAAAGAAGCCAGACTATATCAAACTAAAATGCTTCTTCACAGCAGAGACAACAGTCAGAGTGAAAAGCCAACCCATGGAATGGCAGAAAATATTTGCAAACCATGTATCTCATAAGGGGTTAATCTCCAAAATATATCAGGAACTCCTGTAGCTCTATAGTAAAAGAAAAAACTGATAACCTGATTGAAAACTGGGCACAGGACTTGAATAGACATTCCTCCAAAGAAGTTATGCAAATGGATAACAGGTATATGAAAAAGTGCTTGATGTCATTAGCTATCAGGGAAATGCAAATCAAACCACAATGAGATGTCATCTCACATCTGTCAGGATGGCTATTACTAAAATAACAGAAGACAGGTGTTGATGGGGATGTGGAGAGTTATAATGAACTTTTGCATACTATTGGTGGGATTGCTAAATGGTGCAGCTTGAAAACGGTGTGGAAGTTCCTCAAAAATTAAAATAGAACTGCCATGTGATCCAGCAATCTCACGTCTGGGTGTTTACCCAAAATAATTGAAATCAGGATCTCAAAGTGAAAGTTTTTAAAAAATCGTATATGTTATATTTATACTATATATAATATTATATATTGTACATATATAGAGAGAGAGACAGAGAGGGAGAGAGACAGGAAGAGAAACAGAGAAAGAGACATGCTGTGCTGTGAAATGGCTCTTATGTTTTCCTTTAATTTTTCTAAGCCTGAGAAAGTGGTACATTTGCTTGTATGATTTCAGTAAAAGTCAGGCAGACAAAATCTAGGTATTAGTAAAGGGTCAAGTTTAAATATTTCTTCAGATTATCTGAATGAAGAAAGAGAGCAATGATCCTGAAAAAAAATTATTGCATGGACTGTTGTCTAAGAAACTCATTTGTACTTATATGTATATGTGAGTTATGTCAACACTATTACGTAGTATTTAGCTAAAATTAATAATTTTGTAATTTTATCATCAAACATAATAGTGACAGAAGAACCATTGTGCAGCCAATATGATTTTTTAAAGTAAAGAAAAATCCTGTTATTTTTGTTCTTCATTTGTTTCTCCATCTCTTTATTGTGTTTGTTTTTATACATTTCTTTGCCCGCAGTCACATTGTTTTTGGAGTTTTGGAAACAGCGACAAGCCAGACTGGAATATGAATGGGACCTGGTGGACTTTGAAGAGGAACAGCAGCAGCTTCAGCTGAGACCTGAGTTTGAAGCCATGTGCACGCACAGGAAGATGAACACAGTGACTAAGGTAGATCGGGAAGCTGAAATGGGCAGCAGATGTTCCAGTGAACACACTGCTGCAAGTGGCTTCTCTAATAATGATGTGTATTTTAATTTGCCTTTAAAATGTTCTCCAACATATAAATCATAAAAGCTTTTTTTACTTGCTTCTAATATACATTTCAAACACATGCAAAAGTAGGTAGAAATGTCAAATAGGCCCCAGGGTGGAGCCATCACCCAGCTTCAATTAATATTAACTCATGGACAGTGTTTCTTCATTTATACACCTACCGCTCCCTGCCACTATATTATTTTGAAGCAAATTCAAGTCATCGTATCATGAAATACATAGTCTTACTACTAAGTGAAATCAAATGAAGTGAAAAATAGTGTGTGTGCTGTTGGCTTTGCATGTAAATATATATGCATGGAAATACATATACTAAGTTAATACATAAAAGTAGTATTAAGGTAGTGGGCTTATGAGTGGTCACTTTATTAGACAAATGTTTATTCACCTAGTCCATTCTAATTGTTCGTAATGGAAACATCATCACACTGGTGTCTGAGAAGGAAAGTCTAGATTTGGGGATAACTGGCAAACTAGCTGTATATTGTGAGTTATTTGATTTCTTGGCACCTCGTTTTTTGTTTTTGTTTTTTGTTTTTCATGTGAAAATAGAAGGTACTTTGCAGACTCTTGGCCACATATTCTTGGAGTTTCTACCTTCCTGTTAACTATAATCGCCATGTTACCTGACGCTATTAGACGGAGAATAGAATATGTCTCTAAAAGTCTCTTCAGTAGAATTTCCTACTCTGTTCAGGATACTATTCTTGTCTATAATACTTAGAATTCTTTTCACAGTTTAGACATCCACTAAACATTTATTAAATTGCATTGATACATTCTAAAAAAAATTCAGTAAATGAAATAAAGAGAAAAATCACTTCAGAAAATACATTAACAACTTGGGTGGCAATTTGAAAGTAATTAAAATATATTAAAAGAGATTATCATAATAATGACTTCTATCTATTCATACTTAATGGGATAAAAAAGAAAATAAAAGCAGGCCTATTGGCTTTGCCAAAAATTATTGACCTAAAGACAATCTGTACTGAATGTTTACATTTGTTTATTTTTGTTTTTTTTGTTTTTTTGTGGGGGGAGGTAATTAGGTTATTTTATTTTATTTATTTACTTTAGAGGAGGTACCAGGGACTGAACCTAGGACTTCATGCTTGCTAAGCATCCGCTCTACCGCTTGAGCTAAACCCTCCCCCCTACCGTTGAACTATACCCTCCCCCCCCTTACATTTGAAACCAGTTGAAGGACAGTATGTATTGATTCACTGTGAATCATCTACTTCACTTAGCTGTAATGGTTTTGAAAATGAGGGTGTTTTTTGTTTGTTGTTTTGTTTTGTTTTTCACTTTGTTGCAGTGTTCCCTCAGTGGTTAAGCACAACCAGAACTTTACATTTGAGTCTACTGGGAACACACACACGCATGCATGGACACACACACATGCACATACAAATATGCTCAGGCACACGAACACACATACACTGGATACACACATGCACACACATGTGCATAATCACATGTATGCACACGTATCTGGGGGCTGTTAGCATTCAGTTCTTTCTGAAAATCTTTAAGATTGTGAAAATATAAAATCTTATGTGTTAGATAGAATTACATGATTTCTGCTGACAGCTTTTTTTACTGTATGGCAGTATTTGCAGAGAGGGATAGCTCTGCCTCTTGAGATAGCTAAAAATATCAGCTGATATGGCTAGTATCTTTCATTAATGATTTAAAAAACATAATGGTGGAAAAGTCTGGGCCCCTGAACTGTGGAAGAAGACAATTAATACTGTAACTGTAAATAAGGCACCCTATTTAATATCACGCAGAGCAATTACAGCAGCCCTCAGGTTGAGTTTGCTTTCCTGTCTACCTCACCCTGAATACCACTCTATTTCAACACTCAGGAAACAGTGTGTATCTTGTCTATCTCATATAATTTGTAAAATGTCTCATCTAAGAGCCCTACAGATTTCTGCTTAGAAGTAAGGAGCCGTTACTTTCCATGAGCAGTAGTGACCCCACTCGGGAGGTTTCTACTGTAACGGGACTTTGTGATTTTGACTATTGCTTGGAGTCCTAACTTTAAGGGTAGACTTTGAATTTTGCTGTGATTTCTTCAAAATTACAGGAGATGGAACCTCACATGCCTCTATGTAATCGTATTCCATGGTACTTTTTATCGGGAGCCACAGTGACGTTATGGGTAAGTGTTCTTTAAAAACTGTTATCATCTATTTGATGTAAGGTTGTATTGGGATTATGTCAGCAGTTTCATCTACAATGGCTCTGGAGTCCCTCTCTTCCATCCCCTTCCACAGTATTTTTTTTTTTTCAGTAGCACTCTTATATAAGATAAACTGTAATTTACATGGATGTGCCATCACTGAATCTTGGAAAAGGAGTTGGGGGAGAGAGAGGTGCTTCATCTTAACGCCTGGCCTTTCCCCCTTCCAGCTGTTCAATCATTTGGTGATAACTTGAAATCAGAACAGAATAACAATTTGATTGCAGACTATTTGGTTAGTTTTTAAAAAATTATTAATTCATCTTTATCTCCATTTATAATATCTCTACAAAATGAAAAGTAACTTCATACTATTAAGGTTTACTCTCTTGCTGAGACAAATGGAAGAAAATGTTAATTCTACTTGAAAATTTAATCAGTATATCCCATTGTGAGGCAGTCAGGTTTTTCTCCATGCCTTTAACTGATAGATTCCTCCATCATCATCATAATCTGGTTCCTGCCTTCCCCTTTACAGATTTATGTCCTCTTACAGTTGACCTTTAATTTTAGGAAAAGAGGCAATGATACCCTCTGAGAGGTTAGCGTGTTGAAGTATAAATAATTAGTAGTTGTAGACTATAGTTTAATCTCACCAGTCAATACTGTCTCATAATGTTTTATCTTGGACATTTCTTGTTAAAAGATACTCGTTTTTCTATGTTAAATTTGTGTTTTCCTAGATGATGTAACAGTCATTTTAGAAGAGATGATAAAAAAAAAAAGGGGGTAATAATCAGTTTGGGACACTCTTTGAAAAATATTCTGGAGTGTGGTTCTAGAAAATCACTCTGTCTTTTATTTCTGGTACTCATTCAGTTTGATTCAGTTCCTCAACTTTCAGAATAAAATTCTCTAATCATTGATATAAATATTTTTTGTTTTTTGCAATATGGGAAGGTATAAAATTCATACCAGATCTATACAAATATCTAAACTACCAGGCATATCAGATGACTAATGGCAATATTCTGAAGGGAAATGAAATCAAATCTTTAAACATATTTTTCTTGGGAAAATAAGTAATCTGTACACTACGTGTTTAACTACAGCCTAGAGCAGAAGTTGCCAAACATTTGCTGTAAAAGATATATTTTTGGCTTTGTGGACTACAGATTGTCTCTGGTACTTAATTGTCTTTGTTTTTCTTTACAACTTTTAAAAATGAAAAAAAAAAAAAGCCCACATTCTTACCTCAAGGGTTACACAAGAACAAGTAAGACCATAGGCAGACTCTGGCCTGCTGGCTAGTTTTCCAGCTTTTTCCAGGGGATGGACCTAGAGGATGGGCAATGAATATTTTTTTATTTTTGACTTACTGAGCTGCTACTATATGCCTGTCTCTCACCTTTTTACTTTCCTAGTTTTCATTTCCTGCCATCTATGGTGAGAGAGACTGATTTGGTTTGCTTTCCAAAATAGAGTCGCTAAACTTAATGCATGAGGTGAGGAGAAGAGTGTTTCAGATAGGCACGCATGATAGGGTTACAGAGATGAGAGTGAGCAGTTGTTTGCTTCCCTTCCCCAGATGTCTCTGGTCATCGCGTGCATGGTAGCGGTGATTGTGTACCGCCTGTCCGTCTTTGCCACCTTCGCTAGCTTCGTGGAAAGTGAAGCATCCCTGAAGCATGTCAAAAGTTTCCTCACTCCGCAGATAACCACCTCACTCACTGGGTCCTGCCTGAACTTCATTGTCATCTTGATCTTGAATTTCTTTTATGAAAAGATATCTGCCTGGATTACAAAAATGGGTAAGCTGGCCAGATGGTTAGTATTACTCTGAAAAAGGATTCCTGCCAATGCTGTACGTCCATTTTGGATCACCCCCAGCAAGTGCATTATTTTAAGGTACTTTTGCTCTGCAAGTTGACCCGCAGCCCGGTGCTTCAGAATCCCTGAGCAGCTACCTTCAGGTGTGTTATAATGGAAGCAAGAAGAAGAACTAAAAAAATAAATAAATAAAAACAAAACAAAACAAGAAAAACATTCTTGCCTTAATTCTCCCTTCATGGGGCTGGTTGAAGCCTAAGTAAAAATCTTCACTTTTCTCAAGACGCAGATAATTTTTATTTCATGTATATGGTTTTTAGATTTTGAAAACCATTGTGAGAAAAAAATGACATTCAGGTCCTCCTGAATGTCTTAGAACCTGGATTATTTTCTTTCAAAAATTTAAAAATTTCTCCTAAAGTGAAGAGGGAAGTTGCAGGAGTGCTGGGTGGAGTGGGAGATTGAGTCAGGGCGAGCGGCTTGGCACAGTTACTCCTGGTCTGGCCCCCTGCAGGTTGGACATACTATCAGAGACGACTCCAGCCTCAGCTTCTCTGGCAGCACTCTCTGCAGAGGCTCTCGCCTCTCTAAATCTATACACTGACGTGCCAACGGGAACCAAAAAGGTAGCACTGTACACTCAGCACCAGAGCAAGCACTGGGAGGCAACTGTAATTAGATGCCATTTTCAAATCTGAAGATCTTCTACCTCAGTTTTACTTCTTTTTTCTGCTAGCAACATCAAAAAAAGAAAGAAAAAATTCATGGCAAATAGAACCCAAAAGCAAAGCACCAAAAAAAAACCTTCCGCTTTCTCCAACGAGGAAAATCACTTGTATTCACATTAGAGATTTTGTAGGAGTGCAACTAAATTTCAGTAAGACTGAGGAGTTATCTGTGTTTTTAGAATATGTGTTACTACTTCGGTATCGCTAAAAATGTCATGGATTTGGCTGGATCAGCTCATGCTTTTGGGAGATCGTCAGCTCAGGAAAACATGCTCCCTTACTCTTCTGTGCCTTATGTTGTTCTACTGTGGTGCCAAGAGAAGCTAACATTTTCTTATCTGTGGAATTCATTAAATGATAGATCATGAGCATGCATTTTAAATAAAAGAGAGGGGAAAATGTGTACTATTACTGCCATTATTTGCATGACATCATTTTCACAATTGATAAAGCCATTTAATTCATGAGAGGAAAGCACAATTCAGTTTGGAAATCATCCTCTGCCCTTTATATAATTTATTCTGTTTAAACGTGATTGAAAACAGATCAGAGAGAAAGATCTGATATGCTTACAGGATACTGGAGAGTGTATGGGGATGAGCATAAGGCTCTTCAGCCCGATAAGGCTGTGAATTCCGTATTCTGACTGTGTGACCCTAGGCATGTATTTCATCCCTCTAAATGTAATAAGGACAGCTTCGTAGGCTTCTCCAGTGATTAGATTAATGCAAAATCTCTAACAGAAAGCCTAGAACATATCCATAGTTACTTACTATTGATCAATTATGACCAGAGTGGGGAGCACTTCAGTAGACTCCCAGAATAACATGACTAGATGTCCACTTGTCCTGGGGAGTACAAAATTTAAGGAAGGAGCATTATTAAACCTTGGTGTTTTTTATTTACCAGAACTTCCTCGAACTTACCAGGAGTATGAGAGCAGTCTTACCTTGAAAATGTTCCTGTTTCAGTTTGTGAATTATTATTCATCCTGCTTCTACGTAGCTTTCTTTAAAGGGAAGATCGTGGGCTATCCCGGAAGATACACATATTTGTTTCACGTGTGGAGAAGTGAAGAGGTAAAAATTCTCTTGAGAAGTGAGGTTTGTAGCTTCAGTAACTCAGTGTTAACTAAATACCTTCCGGTGTGCCCAGTGCTAACTCAGGTGTTACCAAGTTGCAGAAGTCTAGGACCCTGACTCTGTCTACAGAGGGTATTGGTCTTGGAATCCTGGTATCTGACAGACTTTCCAGTTACTTTTGGGCAAGAAGTTATATTTTACCTATTATTAGGTATAAAATTTGAGCTATGAACTGGAATAAGTAAGTTCCTGAAGGCTTCTGGCAAAGGACGGATGATAACTTTCTGGAGGTACAGCAAAAAGGGCTCTACCATGTGTACAGAGTTAGACCAGTTCAGTGGCTTCCAAACCTGGCTGTGCATCCAGATCATGTGGAGAAAATAACAACTTCCAGCGCTAACCCAGATATAAAGTTTCAGAATCTTCTAAGGATGAGAACCAGAAATCTGTTTTTAACATATTTCACAGTTGAGTCTAATGCAGCTAGACTGGTACTGCGCTGTGATCATGCTTGGAACTATTGAGCTAAATATCCCTTTAATATCCATTCCAACCCAAATCTTCAGATTCTAACTGTCTGGCTTGGGATTTCTTTTGTTGCAGAAGTCCATCTTTCATCATTCACTTTATTTTTCTCTTTTTCCTTTTTACTAGTGTGATCCTGGAGGCTGTCTAATAGAATTGACAACCCAGTTGACCATCATAATGACTGGGAAACAGGTCTTTGGAAACGTTAAAGAAGCTATATATCCGTATGTATGACTTAGAGTTTTTGCTTGATTTAAGTAACCATGAGAGATTTCCTCTGGAAGATTTGATTATCATGGTACCTTTGATTAGCAAAGGTTTACGTCAACAACAACAAAAAAAAGACTTCACTTTTAATCAACAATCAAGACCATATTAAGGGAATACAGACTTTTTAAAATATGCATCTCTATTGCTTGAGTAAAGTTGAGGGAAAGGTAATTATCTCTCTCTCCTGTGCAGATTCCACTGGGAAATCTAAGTGTTACATGCTCTGTAGATTTTTCTACATGCTTTATATTATTCTTCAAAACTACTCAAAGTTGAACCCTTTAAAAATGTCTGTGTTCATGGACACCTCTGTTACCAAACCAAACTCAGATCTGCTTGCCTGCGTGCAGTAAATCCAATCTGCTGACACCAGGTTGTGGTGAAGGGAAGTGTGGCGTTTACTATAAGGCACCAAGCAAGGAGTCCTGGACACCTAGTGCTGTAAAAGCCGGAACTCTCTAATACGTTTCAGGAAAACGTTTTTAAAGACTAGGTGAGGGAGGGGGTCTCAGGGCATGTGATCACCTCGTGCACTGTCCTCTGATTGGTTGGTGGTGAGATAAAAGGCTCATGTCACAGGGGTCCCATTATCAGTCCTTAGGTTCCAGTCCATATGCTCATGGTCCTCAAGTAGTCAACATCTTCTGTTCTGTGGAGGTTTTCACATCTGTAGAACAACTCAGGACACGTGCATCAGATACTGGTATCTGGGTTACTTCAGAGAGGAGCTAACGCAGAGGACATGGCCGGGAAGGCCCCACGGGGTCCTGCTTGGTTGTACATCTAGGCACAAAAACTGGTCATGAATGAAATGCTAACACATGAAAGAATCACTCTCTGTCCCAAAAGCATAGCAATAATGAGTACCTTATAAAAAAAGAAAATCAAAGTGACAGCTAATCTCAAATACAAGGTGAAAATTTCCATGGGAAAAAGATTAAGAATTATAAACCTGTTATCTTGTACGGCTCCAGCTTTGGAAATGATAGTGTCAGAGTTTAGCACCTGCAGCGTGAATTGGACCAAATGTGCACCATTTAAGACAGGGGACTAGCCGGTTTCACTGTACTGAAATCAGGAGCTAGGTTTATTCCTATTTACTCATGAAAGACGGTAGAAAGCACCCTCCCCGCTCTGCTCTCGCCCACCCCACTGTCTCCTCGTGCTCCTGGGGTGCTACTTCGTGTGCTGACAAAGGCAGGCTTACCCTTTCAAACAGTATTTGATACACCACATCCCTAGTATTGCCACATGTTTTTTAAACCCTAGGTCTAGATTGAGAAGCTGGAGAGCAGAATGGAGGTAACTCCTAACCCAAACACAAGAGGGAGAATAAAATATGCACAGAGAGGAAAAGAGACAGTCAGGGGAGTCAAGGAAAAAAGAAACAAGTACATTTAAGCCTACAAACCAACATTCAAAAACTTGCAAAGCCCGCCTTCCCCACTCTCCACTATCTGCAGTACCATGCATGTCGCACAGCAAGAGCGAGCCTCGTGCTAGGTCTTCATGCTGTTCCAGGATTCGTCTGTTCCTGCGCCAGTAGTCCCCTCCCCTAGTTAACTCTTCAGTGCTGGTGGGACAGGTTTTACCAACTTACTCTTCATCTATAGAAATGTCTTGGCTCTCCCTGTTCTTTCATGTTTCCGTGTGAATTTTAGAATCATCTTGTCAGATTTCACATGGGAAAGTATTTTGGGTTTTTGACTGAAATTACATTTTGATGGTTTCAATAAAAACAACTGACATTTTATTATGCTGGGTCTTTTTATTCATGAACATTTATTTTGAACTCTAATGACTTCAAATAAATATTTAAACTTTGGCATATAGGTCATATGTCTTTTGTCAAACCCATTTCTAGATACTTCTGATTTTAATTGCTATTGTAAATGATATCTTTTTAAAAATTATGTTTTCTACCAGTGTTTTCTGAGTATATGGGAATGAAATATATTGATAAACTCTATTATTATTCTTAATAATTTTTGTCTAATTTCATTTGGGTTTTCTATACAGACAGCCCATTAACATGACTGTTAATAATCATAGATTTCTCCTCTATTTCTGATTCTTCTGCCTTTTTCTTTTTTCATCTTATTGTTCTGGGTAAGAGCTCCAATAAAGTCTTGACTGTGATCACACACTCTTATTTTGTTCTTGATTCCAAAAAGAATGCTTCTGACTTTTCCCCAGTAAGATTGATGTTCACCCCAGGATTTTGGTAGGTGCTTTTGATCAGTTTGAGGTAATTACCTTCTTATCCTACTTTGGAGTAATAAATAGTTTTTAATAGGTGATTGAAATACATCAGATGTATTTTTCTTTTTAAAATTTTTTTTCTGGGGGAGGGAGGCAATTAGTTTTATTTTTGTTTATTTATTTATTTAACGAAAGTACTGGGGATCGAACCCAGGACCTCGTGCATGTTAAGCACGCGCTCTACAACTGCACTATACCCTCCCCCTATCAGATGCATTTTTCTGCATCAATCAACATGGTTTCATATTTGCCTCCTTAAATCTATTAAAATGGTCTCTTACATTGATTGAGTTTCTAATAAAAACCCTTTTAGTTCCTTTAAGTAATCTAACATCATGATATATTATTTTTATGTAGTGTAGAAGTTAATTAGGTAATACTCTGATTAGGATTTTTACATTTATTTTCATGTGTTAGATAAGCCTCTACATTCCCTTGTCATGCATTTTCTATTGTAACCGATTTCTCATTTCCCCAAGTGGCCATCTGAGTATCATAACATAAAGGTTAGTAAATTAAATAGAAAAAACAGTGCTGTGGTGACCCTTTCCTCCACGCGCTCTTTCACAGAACTGTCTGAGTACATACATTTCCATGCAGAGAGTCAGGGCTGTATTACTTTCTTAATCACCCTCATAGAGACCTTTTGCCCTCAGCAGTTACTGTGAACAGAACACTAGATTTGAACTTGGACCTGAGCTGTAGTGCTGCCTCTACTTGTTCTGTGATCTTAGGTTACTTCACCTCTCTTACTGCCCATTTCAAGATCTGATTCTCTGACCCCTTTCTTTTAAACCCTATTCATGCATTTACTTTAATCACTTCCAACAGCTTGGTTCTGAATTGGTGGAGACGCCGAAAGGCTCGAACCAACTCTGAAAAGCTATACAGTCGATGGGAGCAGGACCATGACCTTGAAACTTTTGGTTCCCTTGGGCTATTCTATGAGTACTTGGAAACAGGTAATTTTCAACCACTGTCTTGAAACATGGAATAGGCTGAGTAAAATGTGTTTTTCAGCTCTTAATATTTCTTCCTGCCTTGCACGTAGTAGGTGTTCAATAAATCATTGGATGGTGGGATTGAAAAAAAAGATGGATGGATATGACAAGATTGGTTCAGTTTTTCTATTTCCCACCAAACAGAATGCAGAATGGAATTTAGTTTCAAAACACAAGTCTCAGAGATATTTTTTCCCTGTCAATGGAATGTAAATATTGTTGAGCCAAATAAAGTAAGGATCTCAAATTAAATTTAAATAGCTTTCTCCTTTTGTTTGTCTCAGTGACCGCTCATAGAGAGAACACATTGAAAAGCATTTCCAGAGTCTGACATACATTTAGTGTATGTCCTTCATTTCAGGCTGCAAAGAAGAAGGCTAAAAGCAGTTATGCAAGGAAATCCCAAATTTGACACAAGAAATGCATAAAATATTCTAAGGATTGAACAGAGAAGAGATCTTGTGGTGAAATTTTAGGAGAGACAATGATGGGGACTGCTTGTGGAGTTTACTCAGAGTGTTTCCTCTCAAGGGACTGTCTCTGCTTCTTTGGAATTAAGAGGGACAGTTTTCCCAACTTATTCTCAAGGCCCATAAAAGTCATGGTAGAATAAATGAGATGACCTGAATTTGTTACTGATTCTCCAGTATAATACATACATATAATACCTGGATTAAAATAGGTAAATTTAGGACAAATAGGAAGAAGTCTCCAGTTATAAAATTAGGTAGTCCTTGTTTTATGGAGTGATAAGACTGATTTTTAGTTAATCGTGTATGTTTCAAGTGGATTTGTGCATAAATGCATCAGAAATTATGACTGAAGTTAAAAGATGAAGTCAAGGGTTCATAACAAGATTAACTACCATTGACTGAGACGCAGCTAAGAGTTAACTAATTCTGATGTTTTACATACATCATCTGTAATCTAGAAACATGCTACAAAATAGTCATTGTCCACTGCATTTTATTTTAGAGGATACTGAAACTTGGATAGTTTAAAGTAATTTGCCACAGGCCACAAAGATTATAAGTATAGATCTAGATTTGAACCTAGAAATTCAAGCTGTTCCTGAATAATACTTCATCTTAATTTTCTATCGCTTGGTTCAATAGAGAAGATGGGAAGGAAGCAGTTTCTCTACTTGGTTTAATAGATGACAAGACTGATTCTAATGAAGAAGTCTTATGAGAAAAGCTGAAATCTAGAAGCATTCGAGATCTGTCTAAAAATAGAGGGCTAGTGGAAGATCCTTTCTTCCTTCAATAGAAAGACATTTTAGTATCTCTGATTCCTTTTTTCTTCACTTACATGGGAAGCCCCGGTCTGCCAACTGCATGGATTCTTTTATCCCGAGCATTGATGGAACCAAAGGAGAAAAATGGGCAGAGAAGCCAGCATACACAGGTGTCAAGTCTTAGTGAGGAAAGAGAGTAAAACTTATTTTAAAAATGTCAAGATAGTACAGAGGATCAGGACCTTAACAAGTACCTCAATTCCAGAATATGTATATTTCCTTTGCTACATAAAATTTATATATGTTTCCAATGCTTTATATGATTCATTTTCTGATTTATTCTCAAATACTTTGTTTGTACTACCTTTCCCTCTGTTAGCCTCTTCAAATCTTAAATAATACATTCATTTATAAGGCTTGTAGTTGAATACTTTTGTATACCCAGAGCATACAAATGAGTTGGTCGTTGTCTCTGACTTTAAAAAGTACATAGATTAGCAAGGTAGAAATTTGATTACCCCATAGACCAGCATGGAACTAACCATAGACCATAATAAAAGACTATGTTTTAAGAAGAATAAGAATATCTTATCTAACAAGAATAGATACTGTTTTCAACAAGCAGATCCCTAAAGAAACAGCAGGGAGAGAACTGAGCTGTGCATGCCCGTTTTCTCCTTCCTGTTGTAGCGAGCAAATAAGTCACTATGTTTCCTACCAGGAGGAGGAAGTGGGCAGCTGGAAAGAGGCCTGGCATGTTTTGCCGGTGTAGATCCCTCCAAAATGAAGGAAAGAGGCAGGAGTTGGGCGGAGTGTTCCCCCATTTTCCCTCCACAATAATGAGTTTGTGAATTTTTATTTCTTTAATAAAAATTTTTTTTATTAAAGTGTAGTTGATTTACAATGTTGAGTTAATTTCTGTGTACAGCATAGTGATTCAGTTATACACATGTGTATATATATATATATTTTTTTCATATTCTTTTTTACTATAGGTTAAAATGTTTTTCTTTTTTCGCTGCAGTTATCCAGTTTGGATTTGTTACATTATTTGTGGCGTCTTTTCCTTTGGCTCCTCTTCTTGCTCTCTTGAATAATATTATAGAGATTCGAGTGGATGCCTGGAAGCTTACTACTCAGTACAGGAGACCTGTAGCTGCTAAGGCTCATAGCATAGGTGTTTGGCAAGACATTCTCTATGGAATGGCTGTCCTTTCTGTTGCAACTAATGTAAGTAGACCTATTTCAGTAAGATAATTCTGTACTTTATTTTGTTTTCTGGGGGATGAGGGGAGGTGAGTGATATTTAACTAAGCATTTATTCACATTAATTTCATCATGGTGACAGTTTAGAAAGATAAAACATCCCTAAACTTTTATACACTAAACAGCACAGACAAATCTGTGACATGCAAACTCTTAGAAATACAAGGAAAACTATAAAACACATGCTCATTAGAATACCATGATACAGTTTTACAGCATATGGCAGAGTAAGACAGAAAATAAGTAATGGTATAAAGGATTTAAGTAATACAATTAAAGCTTGATTATACATAAAGTTGTATACTGCAAATAAGACATAAGATTTACCTTTTATATTTATGGATCACTTATTAAAAATGATAATAAAACTAAATTCCCCAAAGTAGAAATTATACACCACATATTCTCCAACAATAATGGTATAAAAATTGAAATTAATAATAAGACAGCCAAAAAAGAAAATTTAACCACTTAACACTCATGCTTATAAGGAAGCTTTATTATACAATGAAGAAATAATACTGAAATTGTAAGGGTAGCCTAATTAAAATGAAAACCTAAATGTAACCTACAGTTAAAATGTATAGCAACACATGCTTATATTATTAAAAAGAAGACAGAAAAGCATGAGTTGAGCATGTAACTTAAGAAACTTAAGGAAAAATGTAAAGCGAATCATTAGAAAGTAGTAAGAAAGAATTAATAAATATATAATCAAAAATAACCAAATTAGAAAACAAACAAAAAGCAATGTAATTGCTAAGTCAATCAAGAGTTGGTTCACTGAAAAGACAAAATAAACAAAACTCTGAAAATCTCAAGAAAAAAAGAGTTACGAGGTACAAGTGAGAAAATTATGAGAGACGGCTATGTATGCGTTTATTCTAATACTTTATAAAATCTATTTGAAATTATCACATTTTCTAGAAAATAAAACTGCCAAAATGCATTCAGTAAGTGACAGAAACCCTGAAATGGACCAGTAGCTTTAGAAGCAATATTAAATACTTTTTAAAAATCTACCACTAAAGATGTAGATGGCAGAGCCCGATGGTTTTAAATTGATTTGTCTTACCTGAAGGAAATGTGCTGTGCACACTACTCCAGCGCTTAGGAAAGGATGGGAAGATGCCATTCCTGTGGAATCAAATACTGAAATTAATTGCACTGAACTGTGGGAAATGTCTCAGGTCCTCTCTCTCTTCTCCATTCCCTACACACACACATATGCATGCAGACGTACACACACTCACAGTCTGTCCCAGTTTATGGAGTTGGTCTAGGCAAGTAAATTTGGTTAAGGACAGTAGAACCGTGTTAAGAAACAAAAAGAAATGTAAGAAATAGCAAGGCATGATGGAAAGAGACAGATACAGGCATGGTGTTTTTGGAGACAGATACATTTCGGTTAAATTTTCAACGTAGCCACTTTTTAGCTATGAAATCTTGGAATATTAATCATATACTATAAATGAACTACTTCATGTTCTAGACTCATAGCTCACGTTTCAAAGACTCATATTAGCGTGATTGGTAATAGCATTCTAAACATTTTGCATCTATATGTCACATGGAACTGAAAGACAAAACTAGATTGTTAGCTCATAATCTCTCTCTTGCTTTGTCCTTTAGGCTTTTATTGTTGCATTTACATCAGACATGATTCCTCGTTTAGTTTACTACTATGCCTACTCAACAAATAGCATTGAGCCTTTAAAAGGGTATGTCAACGACAGCCTGTCAACATTCCTGATAGCGGATTTTCCAAACAACACTGTGCCTTCGGAAAAACGGGACTTCACCACTTGCAGGTTTTCTCTTAATTTCTTAGGTTTTAATTTTGCTTTTTAAATGTATTTCTTAAGTTCTCCATTTCCTTCATGTCTTAAAAAATGTTTTACTTGGGGCAGTAAAAATTTCTGATGAATAAAGTACATGCACATTTCTAGAATGCATACATTGTATGGTTCTGGTTTAGGAAAGTAGAATGTCCAGAAGTAAGAGATATTATGGAGAAAGATAATGACAATTTTGAAATATTTCTTATTTTCAAATTTATTGGAAAATTTTTCTCCAACAAATGCCCCCTTGATCCCAAGTTATAGTATCTTTAGATCCTACAGCATGGTCATAATATATGTGTGTTTAAGCTACTTGAATTTAACTATATGTCCTCAAAACAAGATAGAGTGAGGTAGATGTGATTAGTTCACTGGCCATCCCATTTAAAAGGTTTCTTCCATGTAGGAAGGAGTGTGAAATTGAATTTGTGAACCTGCTGTTTTCACCCTCAGTGTCTCATTTACTGTGGGGATCTTTTTACTCTAGGATTAATGATTATATATATAAAAATTAGTTGTGTAGTGTGTTTATGTGTGTGTGTGTGTTACATCAAGGCTTTTAAACTTAAACCTTAAACCAACTGCTTTATCTGGGATTCTGACAAAAACCCAGCAAAATGGTGCAACACATGTAGACAAAACATTGTTATGGTCCATATTTTTATATAGAGGAATCATGACATGGACAAGTGTCAGATTTCTTGATGCCATCAATTCCTAGCTGAACTAAATTTTTGAAGAACATCAAGATCTAGAAACTTTGTAAGAAAAAAAAAATGAACTTAGAAATTGATCACCAAGAAAACTCCAGAAGGATAATAAGGAAAACAAAAACGATGAAGTGCCAGATAAGCCGAGAGAAAATAGAGCTTTAAGAAAATGGAACCGGTTGACAATGTCAAGTCCTGTCCTTCACAGGTCAAATACGACAGGGATTAAAATATTCCTTCAGCTTAATGACAGGAGACCGTTGGTTTCAGTGCAGCGATGATGGAAGTAGGCGTGTCAAGGAGTAGGAAGAGAGGGAATGGAAAGAGCAAATGTTGCTAACTCTTTGGAGAAATTTGTCTTTGAAGGCAAGGAGAAGTTTCACTTGTGTCTTCTGCTATATCTTTATTATGCATGAGTAGCATAGGGCCGTGACTTTTATCTCTGTAAGAAAGAAATGTTTCATAATAGCAGTATTTTCCTTTGACTTGACTTCTGTGGTCACCTAAAAAGTCTCTTAAAAGGAATAATGTGGATTTATGCTAGGTCTCTTGTTTGAAGCTACAGCTAATTTTTGGCATACACTTCCATTTTTTTTCAGGTACAGAGATTACAGAAATCCTCCTGATCACGATGAGAAATATTTTCATAATATGAAGTACTGGCACGTCCTTGCTGCCAAGATGACCTTCATCATAGTTATGGAGGTAAACCTTTCTCAGCCTTCATTCCAGTTCGTCTCTTTTTTCCCTTTAGGCATATGTTTCTAAAGGTATCTGCTCCACAGAAAATTAGCATTATCTCAATAGATTGTTTTGAAGGAAGTATTGGTTGTCACAAAAAGTAACTTAGGAATATTTTCAGTACAATGGATTGCCTGTTATTCAGTTGCTATTGAAGATAACATACTGACAGAAAAGGTCCCTTGAGGCCAGTGTGAGGGCAGAGGATCTGCTGATTTTGCTGAATACCCACTCTACACTGGTTCCAGAGGCTATAATAATAACTGTGTAAATTTGACTTCATTATTCACCCTTGACAAACGAGTCCAAGAGTCAGCAAAATTAGGTAGTTGGTTTAAAGATAATCAGCTAATATTAGAGCTGGGTTTCAGTGCCAGATGTCTCACTGCCAAGCCTCTGCTCTGCCCACTGTCTTACGTTTCCTCCCTGGTGGAATATCTAGTGTAATTATGGATACAAGTCCTGCAGTAAAAGAGAACGAATATGGAGGGGTATTAGATAGACTAAGTTAACAAACTGAGTGCTGCAAATTATAAGACATGAAGACCAATAAGAGAGAGATAAATGTAAGGCACTTCTTCACTTGCCAGTAAAGGCCAATAATAGACTAGGCAAGTCTAATGCAAGCACCACAGATTCCAATCAGTTTTTGTGTAATTTATTTTATTTTTATCAAGGTTATACATGTAAGTAATTTAAAGCCCCACCCCTCTCAGTTCTTTATGAATTTATCACTTTCACTCCCACATTTTCCATCAGAGGTTTAGATCACCTTGCAGTCTGGTAAATTACAATAGGAATTCTTTTGAATTTTTGTTTTTGTTTGTTTATTATTTTCATTAACTTTTCAATCATCCCAGGCTCCGACTCAGCATTATTCTGGGACTTCTGTTCAACTTCTCTTGTATTGAATACTATATTCTCTCCCATTCTTGGATTACTAGCTTATTTTGATAAAGCACATCTTTCTTTAATTTTCTGAGGAAAATAATGGGCTGTCAATTTTCGAGAACTTGAATATTAAAATTTTTTCTTTTTCTTGTAAGTGATTAATTGGTATAGAATTCAAGACTAAAAGTCATCTCCCTTGAAAATTTTTCAACCAACTTTATTTGGGTATTCCTGAAATTTTCAAAGACATTGCTCTATTTTCTGTCAGCTTCTACTGTTGTTATAAAATACAATACTGTTTTAATTCCCCAGTCTTTGTTTATGATCTCTTTTATATCGATAAGCTTTGAGGAGTCTCTCACTAGTCCTTCTTTTATGAAACTTCACAAGACAGTCAGTTGATACTGAACAATATTCATTGTTCTGCACACTCACTGAAGCCCCTTGAATCTGAAAATGTAATTACCCTTCAGGTGCATTGTATTATTTCTTTGATGATTTCCTTATCTTCTCTGTTCTGTCTTTCTGGAACTTCTGTTGTTCAGGTGTTATAACTCCCCGTTTTGAAGTTCTAACTAATTTTCTCTCCTATAAATAGGCAGATTCATATCTTTGTCTTTTTATTGTATTTTGCTTCCATCATTATTTCTGTTTCCTCTTCATTCTGTTTATTTGTTTTAGTCTTATCCTCTCAGGTTAGAGACTGTCTTACATATTTGGTTGTTACTGGCAGTCTCCTTGTATTTAAGCGCAAAGCAGTGGAAGCTGATGATAAGCCCTGTGTGCATACAGGAGGAATGCCACTTGCGTGGGTTTCACTGCAGCGTGATAAGCTAGTGAGGAAGCCTTTTCATTTGAGGTCAACAGAATTTTGATATCTGTAATTCTGATTTCACAGATTAGCTATTTTTCAATGTGCTAAATTCCATTTAGTTGCCCTGTTTTCAGTATGGTGCCACACCTCCAACTTCTGCTCTCTCCACTGCCCCTGAGTTCACAGCTTTCTGTCTTAATTTCTGCAGAGAATATGGTGCTCCGTTGCTGTTAGGGTGGGGCTGGAAAGGAGAACCTGGATATGGATGAAAGAGAGGTTCTGAAAATTCATCTGCTCCTTACACAAATTTTTAACTAATCCTCTTATTTTCCACTCCACCTGCACATGCCTTCAAAATCTTTAGGCCCTTCATTCATGAACTTTCCTGACGATTTAAAACAAAATTGGCTTTTATCTTGGTCCCTATCATCACCATATCACTAACTGCAAATTTCAGTGCCAGCTTTCTTCATTCTTTTGAGTCCGTAATCACTGTTTCCTCCCTTTTCTTTTTGTCTTTGTTAATGAGACCATATTTTAAAAATTTCTTTACAAATATTTTGTTAGGATTTCAGGAGGGAGCATGGATTAAGTATATATTTAATAACTTTTCAACTAGAATCTTTGTAATTATGTGCTTTAGTATATATTTATTTGTTTAATGTCAGTCTTTGTAGGAAAGCTCCAGAACAGGGACCATATCTTCTCGCCTTCCTTTCTACCTACAGTGTTGAGCATAGATTGAATGAATGAAATGATTTGCAAGAATTTCCTGCTGAACATCTGATAATTCTAACAGTGTCTCTGATTTTCTTTTATGCTTCCTGTAGCACATTGTGTTTTTAATCAAGTTTTTGTTGGCCTGGATGATCCCTGATGTTCCAAAAGATGTTGTGGAAAGAATCAAGAGAGAAAAGTTAATGACTGTCAAGATTCTCCACGACTTTGAGCTTAACAAACTAAAAGAGAACTTGAAAATGACTTCTGATGATTTTGCCAAGCATGTTCTTATTCAGGAAAACAAAGCCCAGCTGGCTCAGTCCACAGTCTGAGCGGCACAGCCGGCCAGCGGCCAGCGGCCTGTCTGACTTCACAGTCATATTCCCTGGGTTTGGGGCCAGAAGGCAGAAGCCATGTGTTGATTTTAACCCCCTCTTTCTTTTCTTCAACTCAAAGTTTTTTGTACCCTTTTATAGAGGCCAGTTTGGTAGAGGTTGGAAGGAGCTTTTCTGCTTCATTGGCTGGGCCCGCCCCAGACACCATTCTCGGGGGTTCTGTAGATGATTGTTTAAAATGTGTATGAAATCAGAATATATTAAAATCGTGGGATGTTGCAGTTTAGAACTAAACACTGGTTGTGCGCTATCCCATCACCTTCCAGTGCAGCTGCTCATTTTCATGGTCTTCTTTCTGTTGGGTTATTTTATATCTCCTTCCCATCAAGAGAAATCCTGGGGGGAAAAGAAGAGAAGTGAAGAGGCCTACTGAGCCATATGTGTGTGTGTGTGTGTGTGTGTGTGTGTGTGTGTGTGTATACCTTGCCATTTTAGACTATGCAGAAAAACCAAAATCAGATAACATAAGAAAACTCACATACTAAAATTACTGGGTAAATATCATGGCAGGAGTTTGTTCCCGAAATCCTCCTGAATAAGGTAAACTTCCATCAGAATTCCAGATAGCCCTTCCAGGTAAATACAGAATTGATTTTTCAAGAGACGGAACAGAATTGATTTTTCAAGAGACGGAATGTTTGAGTCTCAGCAAAGGACTAACAACTCAGTTCTTTAAAGATAACGTTTTGGTAACAGTAGTTTTAAGACTGGATTGTCTTATCTGGAAAGTAGCATAAAGAAAAGTATTAGATTGTTTCAGGTCTTCAAGTAAATGAAAAATATATAGAGAAGTAAGTGTGTCTTCCTAGTAGTTAATGAATGCAAGACAATGTGTGTTGATTAATTTATTGATCTCAACCTAAAAAAGCATTGAATTATTTTTAAAAATCATTTTTCTTCTACAAAGCCTTTTTTTGCGTTATGAAGCTTGTTTGAGCATTAGCTATTTGTGTAAGTTAGGTACAAGTTGTTTGTGAAATGTTATCTCGTTGTTTAAAGCAATCTCAAATCTTTTCATGAGTTTACAATTTTTTCTGTTGATGCATCACTGTACAACACCCAGTGCCTTGTTCTTACGCCTTTGACCCACAAGATGTGGTTGTGTTATTGATCTGATGTGATGTAACATCTCAAATGTGAACCTGTTTTAGAGAAATTGCCAGTTTAAGATCAATCACAGAGTTTAACACCAAATGTGGATCAACCAAGTAAGAATAAAGTGATGGATTTGATAGCTAAGTAAAAAAAAAAAAATTGTTGAATTATTTCTCTCATACTTATGCCTGTGGCACATGTATCCCACTTCTTGTTCTTCTTTCCCTTAAAAAAATACTTAATAAATGTTTTTAACACTATAGAGACATACAGTTTAGTTATATAATATTTGAATCTCTAGTTTCAAATTGCAGTTCAGTTTCAAAAAATTGTGTTTTTTAATTGCACACAAAAGAAGAAACTTTATTATAAGATTTTTTAAAAAGGTGGTATTTCATTATGTGATCCTAAAACATTTTCATAGAATGTCCAGTATTGAGTATATGGCATATAGTAGTAACTAATGATTAGTATTAAGCATTTAGAACTGAGGGTTGTGCATTTTATAAAGCCACGAGACAGTTACTCCAATATTGGTAGTGATGATTTGTCATTCACTAGGTAGATCTTATGAACATTTTTGCATAATTTAAAATGATCTTGTTATTGAAGAATGATTTCACAAGTGAAGGAGAGATATTTTCTTGCTTGAGAGAACCAGTCAGTGTTACTGTGAAACTAGTCTCAACCGCAGTATCTGTGGCTTGTCAAATCAGCCCCTGAGTTACAGTGATGTGGGGTGTGTTGCCCAGCTCATGTTGCTTCCTTCCTGGGTGCCGATAACAATAAGGAAGAGCATGGAAGTTGATTTCTCGGATATAGCTTTCTTTTTTTATGGCTTAACAGTGTTCATGGAGCTAGATTGTAAGATAAATAAAGCTAGATTTCATTCACAAGGTTATCAGTACACTGCAGTCTTAAACCAACTCAAGTGTTGGGTTTCTAGGATGTATGGAGAAGCTAGCAAGGGAGGAAATTGTTTTTAAGATAAGTAAATAGTTCCTATGATTGGTAGATATTTTCCTTTTAAAATGTCATTGACAAATACTTTGTATTCACATTTCAGTTTTCCACCAAGAAGTTTTGAGACAGGAGGGAAGAGGGCAGAGTACAACCACTGAAGGAATGACACAGCCATTGAGGCCAGGGCAAACTGGGTACAACCAAGATGGCAGAAGACTTCCGGTAGACCTTGAGCCTCGAGGCACACCCACAGGCGACAGTTCCTAGGCTGACCATGAAAGGTCCAAAAGTGGACGGGGCCCAATTCGTGGAAATCCCTGCCCCTTAACCAAAATAGTTGGAAGGATCCTCCTACTAACTAGTATATGAAATTACCAAGCCCATAAAAACTAACAACCCTGCACCTGGTCGTCCCTTTCTCTGTTGCCTTCTAAGACAGCCTGCACTCTGTCTATGGCGTATGTATCTCTCTAAATAAGCTTGCTTCCACTTTACTGTGCCTCACTCTTGAATTCTTTCCTACGTGAGGCAAGAACCTATTCTCTGGCAACAGAGTCTCCTTTTTCACAGATTTTTAAATGAAACACAAGTACCCCTCACTTTCCTTAAAGCTTGAAAAACAAAATCCGAAGCCAAGTCGATTCAGATTTGTCTTATGTAATTAAACGTATTAGATATGGTGGGAAGGTTGAATTGAGCACCTGACTCCCAAATGTAAGTTGATATTTATCAGTATGGCAGATGTTTTTTTATCATTCAATCAAACCCATATTTATTTTTGTCAGAAATCTTTCAAGAATCATTTCAGATTTTATTTGAAATAAGAAGAAGTGCAAAAGCCAAAAAAAAAAACCTCTCCAAATATCACCTCAAATCCTTCATCAGCTTTTCTTTGGATAAAAGAAGCAGAATCCACTTCAAAACATTTCTTTTAGAGGAACCCATCAGGAGAGGGGAGTGTCTTTAATTAAATGAAAAGCTATCTTATTTTTGCTGTGTCTCATGACTCCTCTTGACTTTAACATTCTTCTTTTAACTAAACTAAGCAAGTTCTCAAGGAAAATAAAAAGGAAAGAAAAAGATAATAAAGAAAAGGAGGGACAGGATAAGGAGATAAGAGTGTTCTGGTGTGCTTTTGTAGGGAGAGAGGTGTCAGGAGGTGCATAGTGCAGCTGTGGGTGGTAGAGGAATGTCTCTTTCCTAAGCCATTTATGGAGGGTGTCGACTGAAATAAATGCACAGCCTAAAAGTTGAGAGTTATGTTTTATTTGGAGGACATTTCTGAGGACTCTAACCCCTTCGATCCCGGGATGACAGCCTCTCAGATGGCTCTGAGGGACTGCTCCGAAGAGGTAGGGGAGGAGCTAGGATATGTAGGAGCTTTACAACAAAGACCAGATGGTTGGAATAATAAAAGATTACTTGTTACCTAAGGAAAACCAGGCATCTCAAGTTAAAGAATTTAGTGCTTTTCTATGTACTGAGGGGAACAAATATTTGGGCTCGCTGAATTCACTCCTTTGACAAGCACCTACCTATCTAGGGCCAGCATCCTGTCCTTTCTTATTCTGAGTCCCCTCAGGGTGCACCATTGTGAGTGGCTACAGAGGCCGGGCTGCAGGCTTGTCTTCACAGGGGGGTGGCGGCAGCCGCTGATGACTTTGACGGTTTCAGCATTCTTTGTTTATTGATACGGTTTGCAGTATTTTTCGTTAACAAGGGTGAGAGAAAAGCCAAGGAAATTTAATTGAAAACTATTATGTGTCAAATGTAAAATTTTGATTCCAAAGTGACGTGTAATGTCGGGTGCTGTATGTTGATTTACTTAGTTGAGGGTGAGGAAATTGTACTACTGATTCAAAAGGTGACTACTGTTTTGAAAGAACCTCTCTAATAGTTGTTTTTAATCAGTAATAGTTATGTCATCAAAGGATGTTATTAAGGAAAATAACATCGCAGTTGCACTCTAGAAATCGATGTCACAGAGATCCTCACAAATTTGTGAACTGCAGACAGAAAAATGTGTGTAGAAAGTCAATAGCTCAGTTATATTCTATTCATTGCAGCATCGTCTATATTGGCCAGATACTGGAAATAACCAAAGACTAATTCGTAGTAAAATGATCAAATAAGTTAACATTATTGGATATAATGCAATGCATTCACTAAAATTAATATGGAGATTTTACAAAATAGCGATCTCACTTATGTACAGTTAGTTCACAATTTAACTTAACAGTAAAAACTGGGATAAGCAACAACAAAAAAATTTTTTCTGTTATTACTCTTATCTTGATCGCCACCTGCTGGTAGACAGGGAGAAATATGTAAGTTTTAACTGTTAACCAGATTTCCAACTTCGTTGGATGTAAAGACATAAACAGTACTTGTAGGTGGATCTCAGTAATTCCTGGATAAAAATGCTCCGTCTCTCAGAGAGCCTGTCTTCTGTCTTGCTTCTACTGCAAAGATGCTGCTCCAGTTTATTCGTGGCAAGAAATGTGGTGTGGGGGAAGAAGGGTCTCTGGCCTCATGCTGATTTTGGTGTGTGCACTGCTCCCTGCTGTTCTTGGCAAAAGAACCCTTGTAGGGCTAGTCACCGGGGGCCCTGCTGGCATCCTAAGGCAGGTGAACCTGCAGTGGCTTCTGGTGACATACCATGGCAGGGAAATGCATACTGGCTCGGATAATAATACTCCTTGAGAGGGGCAGCTGTCTTCCACTTGCCAGCTCTGCTCTCCCTCAGGGTTTGCCAGCTAAAAGCCCTTAGGTTTATGGCACACCCCCAATAGACCCCCGCCCGGTGGCATGCTGCTTTCAGCCTCTGCTGGACAGCCCCTCAGTCTTCCAAGTCCACTAACTGGCAATTTCACGGTTCTCAGCTTAGGATCCACCATACACAAAAACTGAGGAAGACAACTAGATGTCCTGTCTGATCACACCCAACTACTCCTTGTTATTGTGCTTGGCTGATCCAGATTAACGTGAAGTCCTCCGTGTAACTTCCTGCTTCCCTCCTGGAGACCCCAACTGGAAGGGGGCAATTACCCTGCGGTCAGTGCCCACCCGCCCTGTTTATTGCAGGGACTGCAAGAAGGATTTAGGTGAAGTTCTGTATTTAGGACATGATCCCAAGGGGTGAGAAAGTGAGACAGGAAATAAAGCATGTGATTTTCAGTGGGTTATCATTACGGGAAAGCTAGAGTTCAGTCTCATTGAGAGTCCTCAGAGATTGTAAAACAAAGCTCAGAGTGTCAACACTGAGGGAGGAAAAGGTGGGGCTTTGTCCACCAATTCCCATCACACATTGATGGAGGGTTGCTTCAAGGAAGAACTCACTCAGTCCTCCCTGCCCCACTAGGTCAAGCACATTCCTGCAGCCAGAAAAAAAAATCATTCAGGTGAAGAGACATGGGTTAGAATACCGATAGTCTTTATGGAAGTTGTCCAGCTGCAGCTTCACTAGCGAAGGCAATGGTGCGGTGTCGGTGGCATCTGCTTACGTC